CGGCGATAATGATGACCGATGCAACTCGCTGTTTTGGCTTGTATCATATGTTCGCGTGGTTGTTTTAGGCGAATAATTGGCTGGCCCTTGCATGTGTTTGTGACGGGTGCCATCGGTGGGGCAGGATACGCTCACCATTTCGCGAACACCTGGTGTCATCACTATTTGATAGTGATTCTGAAACACATGCTCATGATATAGATAGAACATGCACTGGACTCTGATTTGGTAGATATCACTTGTGATAATGGACACGATGGTTGTCGTTTTTATTTACCCACCAATTAAGCACGGTGAAATAAGGGGCATTGCCGCCATGTGCCATCAAATGGAATACTAGTAGCACAAGCAAACAACTGGTTGCAACCAAATACTATCTTCCTAGAGCAATATTTTCACAAACATTAATATGTTGTTCAAGTTGTGTTTATTTAAATTACATCAATGCTTCATCAACCCATTGTCAAACTCGATGTCAAATAGATGGCGTAATTAATAGTTTCAACGTTCACTGAATCCATGAGATGAAATTAAAATTCAATTAAAACTCAGAGCCTTAATTGAACAAAATTAAACACCATCTTGCAACAATGTATGTTTTGTCGCAGACATATTTTTCGTCTCTTTAAACCGTCTGATTCATACTATATTCTTCATGAATTGTATGGGATAATGGGAGCGGTCGGGTAGCCTAGTGGTTAAAGCGTTCGCTCGTCACGCCGAAGACCCGGGTTCGATTCCGACATGGGTACAATGTGTTAAGCCCATTTCTGGTGTCCCCCGCTGTAAAATTGCTGGAATATTGCTAAAAGCGGCGTAAAACCATACTCACTCACTCAATTATGGGAAAATGTATTTTTGTTTTCAATAAAATTCCAGGCCCCCTGGATTAGAAATGGTCGCACTTACAAGCAAAACAGTCCGGTTTTCCTATGTTAAAATGTTTATTTAAATTGATAATAAGGGTTTGGGAATAAACAGGTTTTACCATGTTTGAAAAAATCATTCATGATGAGGGTTTAAGTGTTAAGTGTAATACAGTAAACTACGGTTATAACGAACACGTTTATAACGAACTGACAGATATAACGAACTTATTTTTTAGTCCCGGCAATGTGTTGTATTTATGCTGACAGTGTATATATGCTTATAACGAACTACGGTTATAACGAACCAAGATTAGTGGTCCCTTTGAGTTCGTTATAACCGTAGTTTACACAAGTTGCACCGATCGCCGCTGGATGACCGCAGGCTTGTTAAGCCTCATATAAATTGTCCTTAAGAATATCACTCTCCAATCCTCCTTAAGACCATCGCCTCACGTCAATCTGGTATCAATACAGAATTGGCCAGGTCAGCAGCTGGAAGCGTAGACAGTAGTTTATCCTTCTATATGGCGAATTCATTATCATTTAGTCTCTGTAACACGATCAGAGAATAGCACTTGGTCAAGCCATTTGTCTTCTCGGTGTTCTGACCAAACTCCTAATCCGCTTATAGGGGCGCGGTGGACAAATGGTCTTAGATGCTATATATTTATGCAGAGTTGTGTCCCTTAGCCGTGCGAGGTTCCGCTGATTGGAATCCCAGATTTGTTTGCATTATGATCCTTGGTTTGCGGACACATGCCTTGCTCATGGGTATCGCCAAAGTGGGAAGTGTATTAGTGTTGGGCTGGTTTGGTAGTTCTGTCACGTTAAGCTGACACCCCGCGATATTACTGAAATACGGTTCACACCGGCGATAAACCAAACTTTCTAAAAACAATCAGGTGACAAAAAACATACAGTGAAACCTGGTAAACAAGTGAAAAATCCTCTACCAGTGAAATCCACCGGATAAATATTTTTTCCTTTTTAACGAATAATTGTAACGGGATACCCACGGCATTCCGTGACTAACTGCCAATGATATTTCATGTATACATATCTATATATTATATATCATAGCCAATGATATATATAGCCAATTATATTTATAATATATTAGGTATTCCTGAAAAGAATCATTGATATAAAATATTGCTCAGGTAAAAGTAAGATATAATTTCTCTCTTAAAAATAATTGATGGTGATTAATATGTTATATTATCAATATTCATTAATCCTGAGGATGAATCACATTTCGCATCAAAGTGTCATCTGTCATTGATTCTGGATTATCGCATAGATTCGGTAGAAGTCTTCAGCTTTCCCTCCAAGGAGATGGAGGGGCGGTCGGGTAGCCTATTGGTTAAAGCGTTCGCTCGTCACGCCGAAGACCCGGGTTCGATTCCCGACATGGGTACAATGTGTGAAGCCCATTTCTGGTGTCCCCCGCCGTGATATTGCTGGAATATTGCTAAAGGCGGCGTAAAACCATACTCACTCACTCACTCCAAGGAGATGGCTTGCTGCCATCTAAAACAGCCTATATGAAGACCCCGACGAACATGATTAACCTACAACGTTAAGAGTTAATCAAAATGATAACTTCTTCGTAATTAGTGGAATAATGTTGTCAGAGTGCCAGTAGACCAGCTGTGGGTTTACTGAGGAGTTGGGATGGTGAAGGGAGATACGGTAGCCAGCGCACGCTGTGGGTAAAAAGGCCACGAAAATCGTTAAGCCATGATCTTAAAGCAAGGACAAAAACTTACACGCAATATCGTACATCACACTGATCGTCAAGGAAAAGCTGATTTTGCTTCCACGTTTAAAAATATAACGTCAATGCCTGAGAAATACCAGTCTCGATTATCTACCGAAACAGATTCAATTTGGCGTAAAAGGCAAAATAGCGGGGAAAAGTTTATGAATGAATCACTGAATATCAGTGTTGACACCAGGTGTTCGCGACAAGGGTAAACATGTTCTGTGACACCCTGCGTACATTGAATACACGTATGTTCCAGGAATCCCATATTTACCGTTTTTTTATAAGTTTGCTTTCGGGATTAATTTTGATAAAACCACAGAAATGATAAAATACATGTATGTACAGTGAAACCCCGTTTATCCGGACGATACAGTTTGCAGTAACATTTGGCCGGAGTATGAAGGATCAGGATCAATACCACAGGTGTCTCCTAATTTTTCTCTCAACCCGCGTGTTAGACAGGGTATCCGGACAATAGAGGTTCGAATTAACGAGGTGTCACTGTTCGCTGTTTTTCCGGGCACAAACTGGACACTATGCATAGTCAAGATACTTCCAGCAGCTTGGCTTTATAGAGCACAAAGTCAACGTGACCTGCTGAACGCTTTAATCCGCCATACACTTTGGATTGTTTTTGATGTTGTGACTCAGAGGAATGTGAAATCCATTATATATTTCCAATATACGTGAGAGTCCACCAGAAACGCTTTGAGCTGTATATATATTGCTGGTATAATAATCGATTGAAAACAAGTTTTAAAAATTTTAATGTAAGAATGACAAGATCAGCTGATTTATGTAGAGTAGACATTACTTTCATGGTACATTTATCTGATAATAGTGAGTGATTGTGTGAGTATGGTTTTACGCCGCTTTTTACAAAATTCCATCAATATCATGACGGGGACAGCAAAAATGGGCTTAACACATTGTACCCATGTCGGGAATCGAACCCGGTATTTGGCGTGACGAGCGAACGCTTTAAACACTAGGCTACCCGACCGCCCCTTTCTGATGATGTGTTGCCCTTTCACAAACCAGATAGTTCTGTGTCCGCGTTCAAAATGAACATCTTAGTAACCAACGTATTCAACTGACGTTAGTGTTGTATGATTGAGTAAAGGACCAGATCACCTGCTTCAAGAGACCGTTGTCCCCATATTTCCAGGTGTGTCGTAAAGTACTTCTTAATTCGGATTGATCAACTGGACGTTTGCTGAATATCGATAGAAACCATTCAGCGGTGACCTGTCTGAATTAGTGTGACGTTGCGCGATAATACACCCGATGACTGTCTCCTCAACACCCGATTACTTGATGGTTCCTGTGCTTTTGCAGCGACATTGCTAACTACGACCACGTAATGTCGTTATTTCACTGTAGGTTAAACACTGGAAACATCGTTTGTAATATTGAAGATTTTACAACCAAATTTCTCACGCACACACACACACAGATCCTTGTTAGAATTGGTCGTAAGAGGCGACTAACGGGATCGGGTGGCCAGGCTCGCTGACATTGTTCATTCATCCCAATTGCGTAGATCGATGATCATGACGTTAATCACTGGAAATTTGGTACAGACTCGATTTTATTGCTGAAATTTTGTTGAGTGCAGCGTTAGACAGCTAACAAACAAACAACAACCAATTGTCATAGAGTACGTGTAAGATGTACTGCAATATACTGCGGATTTAAAATGTATTCACTGTCTCAATTTGGCACTAAGAGACAATCAATTGTAAATAGTCTAACGACCCACTTGCAATAAAACAACTGCTTGGCACTAAGTAACCATGTCAATATCGCAATTTCTACACCCATAAACAGGTGTACAGACATTGAGACAGTAACATTAAAACATTGTCAATTATTTGTGAATTATGAAAGTTGATAAAATTTCTTAAATACAGGACATCAACACCATCACACTGAAAATTCAGTGAGAAATGTATTCACAATAAATATGTACGATCCAAATCACCGGAAAAACACACATAGATTGTACATATTAGCAACAAAACCCTTTCCATATTCATAAGAAATTATGAACCATGATATATGCTGGAAAACATATCTTATATGCATCCGTCAACAGCACCAGATATTGATAGTATAATTAATACTTTATGAACATCAAAGTTGAAATATGTATGTACTTAAGTATGTGTATATACAAAACGCTATATATTCGCTAACCATACAAAGATTCCCACTTAAGCGACTCAATACGTTAAGCCCCGACCCATGAAGCCAAACAGTCTCGACCTCCACTTGAGACCTCACCTTTCAACAAATGACCTCAGTCAGTTCCTTGTGTTGTTTGGCTTACAACTGAGGTAACCCTTTGTCTCCTGTTTCAGCCCCAGAGGAGGTTAAGTTCTGGCAGTCTCACAGACGGCTCGGAAACAGAGAATGAACCCTCTCCACCTGTCGCCAGGCGAGGCAGGCGATCCGCCATCTTTGAAACGAAGGTAGGTACTTCCGGTTTATTTAAACTACGTTTTTACTGTTCGTCAGTTAACAATGTCCAATCCCATGTCCGTGACTTAAAAAGAAAGGTCAAAACCGCTTTGCATCGCATTGCAATCGAATGTGTTACAGTGTACCATCGCCCCGACTGGCAATATTTGCTCTCTGTGGCAAATGTATACATTTCCCTTGTACAAACAGTACAGCAGTCATTCAAACAGATTCACCTTCTTCTTCGATATTATAAATAGCCCAGCCTTTTTTAACCATTGTTTCCACTGTCTACAATTCTGTTTGTTCAATGCGTAAAAAGACCATCTAAAATATCCCACATACTGCAAAGGTTCCGTGTACTGTGGAACACCATTAGCATTCAATACTTCGGGCAACTGTGTCAGGCTCTTCAGATTAATAACAACCGCCTCCGTGGTCTAGTGGTAGAGCGTCCGACCGGAGAGCGGAAGGTCCGGGGTTCGAGCCCCGGCCGCGACATACCAATACACGTTAAAAGATGGTACTTGTTGTTACCCTGTCTGGCGCTCGGCATTAAGGGGCTAAAACAAGGACTGGTCGGCTCGGAGTCAGTATACTGTGTCCGAGTGGTTTATTCATGTTAAACTGCGGCATGGTAACTCAGTGAGCTAGCACTATAAATCGGCATCAGTCCGGACAAGTACAAGCAGCCCCCCCCCCCCCCCCCCCCACACACACACACACACGTTCATGCAGGTCGCTAGTGCAATAATCTTGGACGCGACGTTAAACCCAATTTCATCTCACCTTAGATAAACAATAATACTAACTTTTTTAGAAGATGTCTACATCGCCGAAAAGCATTATTACCAGAATGTAAAAAGTGGTAAATTAGCACAGCATATTTTTGTATATTTCCAATCATTTCAAGTAACATTCGTGAGGTTCTCTTACCGACAAGTAAGTCAACTTCGGCCTTCTCTGTGCCACCAGACAAACATAAACATATATATTCTACATTGTGTAAATATTTAATGGAAGTTAGATGAACCTCCCATATATAAATTAACAAGTCACGCAGCATGGTCGAAATAGCACAAGATTTACGTATTCCAATAACACGTTTTTGCATGATACGTGTTTATTAGGAGGTTGAGTATGTAGAAAAGACATCTCAGAGCATGAAATATGGTTAATGGAGTACGTGTTTTTGTATTGTTTATTGCAGTCTGCGTACACACACTAGGGAACAGTATACATGTGCCATACATCGATTACGTTATTACCTAACGTCATAAATTTACAATGTACAGTAAACTACGGTTATAACGAACACGCTTATAACGAACTGACGGATATAACGAACTACTTTTTTGGTCCCGATAATTAGCTGTATTATGCTGTATATATGCTTATAACGAACTACGGTTATAACGAACTAAAATTAGTAGTCCCTTTGAGTTCGTTATAACCGTACTTTACTGTATGTGTAACGCGCACCTGTTCACAGACACCTGGTATCATTACTATTTGATAGTGATTCATAAACATGCTCATGATATAGTCGGAATCGTACAGTCGAATCTTCATGTAGCAGAGATTTCTTATAAATATGGAAAGGGTTTTGCCGCCTATATCTTCAGGTTTGTAAGGTCAAATTCATCGTCGTTTAAAATAATAAACAGTAAACTAACGGTTAAAATGAACTCAAAGGGACGGCCAATTTTAGTTCGTTATAACCGTAGTTCGTTATAAGCATATATACTGCATATATACAGCAAATGGCCGGGACCAAAAAAAATCGTTTTATCCGTCAGTTCGTTATAAGCGTGTTCGATATAACCGTAGTTTACTCTCTCTCTCTCTCTCTCTCTCTCTCTCTCTCTCTCTCTCTCTCTCTCTCTCTCTGTCTCTGCGTGTATCCCTTTGTTCATGATATTGGTATTATAAAAGTATTGAACTAAAAACTCATCACTTTTTCTTCCAAAATTTAAAAACTGAAGTAGTTGTAAATTGAGCTAAAATAGACCTCACTCTATTTTAAGTGCTCCTTATTCTCAAAAAAATAATTTAACAAATTGACATTTTCTCGATCGATTTTGGTACTCTGTGCACACGTAATGGTTAAACTCCTGCTTATTTCCAATTCCCATTAGCGCTGTAAAGCAGTTTGAAGGGGGTGCATTTAGAAGTGTTATGTTCGTATTCATTCCAATGCGCATACAACGACTTCAGGGGACCTTTCACCTTTCTGACAAGCGCGTTGTTGTGTTTAGAATAAAAAATAATAGACCGTTGAACGAACAAAATTGTATAAGTAACTTTATTGACCAATGTTATAAAGAATATACATGTAGGACACGTCCTTACTTCGTTTCTGTGGGGTTTTTTTAATAAAAAAAAGTTTTTGTTACCGATATTTTGTTCAGTGTGAGGTGGATGGGGTGGGGTGGGGGGTGAAAAGGGGTTCCACGTCGCGTTTAAAATTATTGCAAATATATCGCAAAGTGCATGTATTTGACTGTGTGGCTGCTTGTAGTAGTCCAGACTAATGCCGGTTTTATAGGTTTTTTTAACATGGATACAGGACTCAGATACTGTATGTGACTCCGACCGGACCAGTCCATGTTTTATCCCCTTAAAACCGGGCGCCAGGCAGGGTAACAACAAGTACAATACATTTACGTCGTTTGGTGTGACACCACGGAGGCGGTTTTGATGGTGTTTCCTTTGATGGACAACTGCGTAATAACAGCTGTGCGTATTGAAGTCGTTGTTATGGTAAACAGGTACATAATTCACGTTCATATATTTTCCACAAGACAGATTTGATCATATTCCCTCAAATTCACCTAGATCACTGATGGCTACGACCAAATTCCATAACCGTTATATGTAAGCACCACTGCATTTGAGTTTGATCAAAGAACTTCGTGTGAGTGACATATCAAATAGTGTCACATGCTAGGCCAGTCTGTTATCTGGGGCAGAAATCTGCCCAAACCACGCATTAGTACCTTAAACCTTTGGCTTGACTCTAAAACCTGAAGACATGTCCATTCCCTTTTTGTACAGGATTGCAAAGCGCCATAAACATACTAGCGTACAAGAGAGATATATTGCTGGGTCCAACAAATGTACTACCATATCCCTGTCTCAAAGACTGACCATAATCCTTAATACAATCAAGGAAGGACTTTCTTTATATTCACAGAAAATATTTGAGACAAATGGAATCATTACCATATGGACTCTAAAAATCCGATTTGCTTGTTGGAACCTCAAAATAAGAGTGAGTGAGTGAGTATGGTTTTACGCCGCTTTTAGCAATATTCCAGCAATATCACGGCGGGTGACGACAGAAATGGGCTTCACACATTGTACCCATGTCGGGAATCGAACCCGGGTCTTCGGCGTTACGAGCGAACGCTTTAACCACTAGGCTACCCGACCGCCCCTCAAAATAAGAACCAAGTTCAATTCTGTTAAACCATTTCACTTTTCAATTTTGTACATCACTATCCCACACGACAAAGTAAAGGAACACATTCATTCCTTGAACAATGGGACATTTGTCACTAAACGCGGTGACCATAGATATAGTTACATAGATAGAGGTTCAAAGGTTCAGGACAATGTGTCAGAAATCACAGCATATGTCATCAGAGGTTGTCTGAGAAAACAATTTGTGAAATGCTGGGCATCTTTATTAATGTCTTTTTGACATATATTTGAAATTTTGGGTACAATATTTTGGCAAGTTTCTTACGCGAACACCTGTGTCATCACAATTTGAAAGTGATTCATAAAAGAAAGGACTCTGCTGTTTTTAGCAGAGATTCCTTATGATAATGGAAAGAGCTTCGTCGTTCTTATGTACTTGTATAAAGTAATCTGACGGTTGTTATCGTAATGACGTAATGCCCATCCTTTATTCCCTTGCTCAATTTACTAATCATGCCACATTTTGCCAATCACTGTCCCTTCCCATCCCCAATCAGTGTCAATAAATATCTATGCCATGTAACAAAAACATCCACCGTTGCCTTTCAATCTCCTCAGGTTGCTTTATCGACGTTGGTGAAGCACGCCCATAGTGATCCGCCATTACCCTTAGCCGAGGCTTCATATTAGCCAGCATTGTGGTTCAGGATTACTGACGGTTTCATCCCTGGTAATTAAAGAAACGTGCTACACATCTCACTACACCCATACGAACTGGTATAAAGTACAAGGCCCTTAATGAAAATACCCGAGCCGTTAACTCGTTCATGGTCATTGATGGCTGCCCAACACGGAAGCCGATGTGACCCCTCCCCTCTGATATCCTTCCGATGTTAACAGATGAGTTGTCCTCATCTTGGGTCTTGTATGCAGGTTCCGATCTTCTGATGTTCGTCTTCAAAGGTAAATGACGCCTTGCAAGATACTAGATTCTATGTAGGGGCTGTGTTGTCGTGACTGAGGGTTCTTATCGTTTCGTTACAAACTGACAGTGAACACTCTCAAGAATCTATAGCGGCCGCGTTGAGCCATGGAAATTCCCAGGACATTCAATTTACGTTAACGGTTATGATAATTACTTATTTACAGGAACCTGTTATCGATTTAGTTTATTATCTGATGATGTTGTAACGAACCGAGACTTTAACAATTATTCTCGTGTTGAATATTTGATATGACGCTATCTCATTTATATAAAAAATATTTATTATGTGTTACTTGTAGGTCGAACTGGAGACGGTCACTTGCTCGTCATATAATTAATATCTATCACCTGGGGGTCGAACTGTAGATCTTTTAATCTTTCCTTGTCATATGATTTATTAATATTTAACATCTGTGTATCATATACACTTGTTATATGAAACTATTTTCGTATTCATATTCGAAAACGTATATGTTCAGTTCTGATTTCGTCATTAAACCTGATCACAAAACTATATACTTTGACACGTCGACCCTTGAGGCCGACCTAAGAGATTGAAAGATCAATAGCATGCTTAATGCGTGCATCACTTAATCCGTG